AGATGATGAATATTTTTCCAGACTTGCTATGTGTCAGATGCCACTCAAAAGGCACACCTTTTCTATTCAAAGAAGGGATGAGGGGTAGAGGGGTGGAGCATTAAAAACTTCTATTATTGTCTTTCCTTTCCTCCATTCTCTAGGAGGACATGATGCTTTATCAATGGGTGGTGGAGGATTTGACCCAAGGGCGGGCTTGATCCCCTTCTTAGATGAAGATTCAAACAAATTAATAGAAGAATGGTGGTTGGCTTCAACCCACACAAGCAGATCACGATAAGAGGGGTTGGTAGGGAGAGAATTAGTCAATTGCGAGGAGGATGGATGTGCACCGATCGGTGATGGAATGTTTGATGTTCTCACTTAATTCTCAAAAACCTCACCTTTATAGGCATCATATCCCAGTAGAGACGATGTTCAAATTGTCTCACCTACATATAATAGCAAATTTTTGGGGTTTTGTGCAACAATGATAATTTCCCATTATGACACATTTTATATCATGAAGGTCATTTGAGATTTAGAAAAAAAATATAAAATCTACACATGTGGTATCCCCACCAGCGACAACAATCTTTTCATGTTCCCCTTAAATCTATCCCCTTTTTGAAAGAGCAAGCTTACCTCTTAGTTTTCCCTTGGAAGCTCTCTTCCCAACTTCCTTCATGAGAGTATCCTATTTAACATACGAGGCCTTCCATTGACCCTTTGTCATGCGGCCAAACTTATCTAGTTGGATAATCTGATCGACAACTTTTCAATTGATATACTGGGGAATATAAAATGGTCGCCTTTCAATCTTCTCTCTATTAGCAACTAGATGCTTCAAAAACATTTTGGTTCTACAAACTGACATGTTCTAAGGGGTGACGTTGATTCCCCAACCACCAAAGCAAGAACCAATCAGAAATTGCATTCTGAAATCAATTATTTTGTTCTCTAACCCAATAGTCAGAGTTTGTAACATGTAGAAAATTGAGTAAGACCATCCTTGTTGATCTTAAATAAGAGGTGGTAATAAACCAAGCCACTAAGCCATGGTATGCCAAAATGATGGAAAAAGTGACAAATTTCTTCATCACGACAATCAATTTTGGCATGATTTGAGCAGGAATTTGTCCATACTGCTTGAAAACACTCTTTAGCTTGGTTCATAATGAGAGCCTCAGACTATATCAAAATTGATCCTGATAAGACACCAGATCATCTCCAAACCTACTTATTGCCCGATCGAAACTTCTAACTGCTTGAAGCTTTGCAGTATCATTGAACACATACTCCATCAACTTCTGCACATCCTCAGTTGAAACAAAGGAGTCAATCATCGGGTAAGGGCCAAAAACCTATGAAGAATATATATGAGGAATATATATGGGAAAGGATCAGAGAGGTTTAGAAAAGTCCCAGGTGTGGTACCCTTTAATCTATTTATAAGAAGGATGAGAAAGTCAAAATGTCCAAAGGTCATCATTTCAAATATCTCGATGTTCAAAAAAAGGTCACATCATTTCAACAAAATAAATAAATAAATAAAAATAAAATCCTTTTTTATTAAAAAAAAACAATTACATGGTATATTCAGAAAGAAATTAATTAACAAAAGATTCTTCGACCACTTAAGCTAAGGCATGCCGTCTGCTAAGAAACCACTTAAACAATAATCCTCCACCTAACATAAAATAATTCCCCCGATCTACCCCTTGTTGTGTTTGACCGACTCGTAGCTCTGTATAAAAAGCTACCGCCTCATCACAGAGAGAGTGCATTCTTTTTCCCAACCATTCGACCTGAAGCTGAAAATCTTGAATAATGTTATTTTCTGATCCTCGGGCCTCACTTCCAAAAGAATCCACCATTTCATTCACTCTACGCTCCAATGACCCTAAAGAATGTTGTTGATTGTCATCCATCCCTTGGGAAATAGTAAAAAGATCGACTAACTGATTGACCACATCACCAATTTGATATGGTGTTGAAGCACAATCATTGGAATTGAAGTAGGATCAGGAGCAACATCAGTCGATTGCATACCTTAACTGCTAGGAAGCCAACATCCAGACTTACATCAAGGTCAGTGTGAAAGAAGAGAAATTTATACTACAAGTAACTAGTTAATCATACCTGACAACCTACCTAATTCAGAGGAAGTTATGGGTAAAGCTTAGATGAAAGCATTATTCTACTACAATTCGAGCGAGGAAACGTTGGAAATTACCATTGTACAAAGTTGCTCCAAAACACCAGCCACCTCCTGGGTGATCGGATCAACCTGACAAAACTCTTCCTCAACGATCATAATAGAATCCATGAGAGAAGCCGAAGACCCTTAAATTTTTGTCACTCTCGATACCTTTTCTGGTCAAGCAGCATCGGGGCCAGTAGAAGATGCAACATGATTATTTAAATCAATGGCTTGTTTCTTGAGTTTTTTCCTCCTCACAACCACCATCTTCTTCTTCATTTTTTTGTTCACAAAAAAAGGAAGAGGCTAAGGAGGGAGCTGGAACTCTTCAAGAGTTATTCAGGGAGCATCATCATCAAAATGATCAAGATCTCTTGCATCAAACATGATGGCATTTGAAATTCAATACGTTAGTGAGGAGGGAAGACTCCTTTGACCCTATTTATAGAGATTTTATGGGCATAAAAAACTAGAGAGTAATCATTATGTTTTGATGAAATTTAATTAACTATTTTCTTGTCCTCATTGTAATTATAGTTAACAAGAGGCAAGAAAATTGGAAAACTAATATGTATACATGAAAATTATCATCACAAATCTTAAAGGGATCAAACAATGAAAAAGAACACCCTTATTGTCGATCAAAATTTCACACGGTAAATCATTAAGAGACTGACTAACTCAATACATCCGTTCAATCGATCACTTAATCCATCGAACATAAATGATCGATTGAATCGACTGACCGATCTAATCAACCAAGGCTTAAGTGACGGACAGCTGGAACTAAAAATTAGTTATACCTAGCCATGTATTATATCCAATGGCCACAAGTGCTCATGAGAGATGCATTCATTTAGTTATTTAAGAGGTGGTTATATTAACCACTCTAGAGTAGGAAAAAAACTAGACATACCCACTAACTGATGAGGGAGAAATGATGCAAATGTAATTGTAAACTTAAGCCACCTATGAATATAAATAAGGGTTGTTTTTTGAATAAATGGTTACACACTCATATTCTGAAATTATTACTGTCTTGCTATCTCTCCTTTTTATCTTTTCTAATTTCACGCTCTAACTCTAGAGGCATGCCTACTCAAAAAAAATTTGGGATCTAACATTTATGAATAGTGAAAATAAAGTATACACTTGATTTGAGAGTAGGAAAATGAAAAA